CATCGTGTGTTTTATATTATTATACTTATTTTTTTTATTTGTTACTTTGTGTTCAGATATGCAATAATATCCCACTAAATTCATACTCATTATCTTATATTTATTTCATTAAATTAAGAATTTGGTTATTCAAATAACATCCCATAATTATTCATCTAATCACAATATTTTATATTATCAAGAACTATATATAAGAATATGATTTTTCCATATGTTTATCGCTTTTTTCTCTTTTATTCTGACCTTCTCTCAAGTAACCTCTTAAGCGTTACTTTCTCGTTCTTTGTCCTCAGGTAGCTGTCGAACATTAAACGTCATTGTTCCTTTTCTCTTCTTCAGTTACTTGCACTTATACTATCACCCACTGGTATTTGCCCGCTGTCTCACTTAATTGACCCACCTTGTGTCCTTACTGTTTAACGCTCTCTTATTTATTACCTTCTTTTGCCATTTATCTGGGGTCCGACTTGTCTGTTTGAAGATTTATTATCATACATACATGTTTTATTTGACATTTTTATTATCTCATACTTCTTTACATTCACACAAGCACACCCCACCCACACCCACACTTTACATTTCCCTCCTGCCCTTTCTCTTTGTGTTGTATTTCCATGTTGAACTGTATGTTTTTTAGCTCTTTCAGCCGATGCTATGATAGTCATGTTCAGTACAGACACATTTTTATGTTCATAATGCTTCTATAGACGGATTTAATCCACTCCATTATCTTATTAACATTTTTGTTATTATGCGTTGTCCCTTACTTCCTTCCAATCTTTCCATCCTTTCTTTATTGTCTGTGAGACATCTCCAACTATATATTGTGTAATTTTCTGATATATAGAATACTGCTCGAAAAATGTTACTGCTTTTTAGTCCCATTCTTTTCTAAAATATTAATGTTGCTTTATTTGTATTAATGAATCAGTTTTTTCTCTTCTTAAATAATAATTGTTTTTTTTTTTGTTTTGGTTGTGTTTTGTGGTTTGTGGTTATTTTTGTGTGTGTCGCTCTCATGGTTATATATACCTCATGGCGGAAGCGTTAATCTGTATACGAATACGCGTATCATTCCCCCTTCACTGTTCCTTAGTCACTTAGCTTTTGTAGGCCTGGTTCCATGTCATACAAACACATGCTACCCTTTTTTCTAAGTACATAGGATAATGTTTTTTTTTTTTTTCGTTCAGACCCATATTCTCCCCTCCTCATCTCCTCTTACTTACATATATTTTTTACCGCCTTGCTAATAAATGTCACCTTATCATTCTAACTCCCTAATATTATATTCTTATACTCAGGTCAATATAGATTAAATAAGTATTTTCATACTTCATTGTAGAATGTCCAATTCAAATTTACAAATAATTTCATATATCTCTCTCTCTGGAGTGGAGTTTTCCATATTGCGCATTCATAAAAAAACTTGTATCTCAACTAAAAATTGTTACTTAAGAATCTTAATGGATTCTTTGTTGCTCATTTTTTTATGAGTTTTATTGAGTTTTTTTTGTTTTTGTGTTTGGTTTGTTGCTGTCATTGTCATAGGGCTGTGAAACTCTTGTGTTCAGCCTTATAAGGCGTACTCTTTATGCGGAACGTTACCATGTCCCAACCATGACTCAATTTAAATTAATTGCTTCCGATTTTCGCCCCCTTTTTCCACTCTCCCTTTCCCGCTCCTTTCTTTCTCCCTGTCCGTTAATACGATCTTCCTCTCCTCTTCCTTCTCATCGATCATAGAGCTCAAACCTTGCTAAATACCTCAGGAGATAAATCTTTATTCCTCTTCTGTATATTGCTTAAATAGTGTTTACATATTCTTACATGTTGTTCGTACATCTCATACATTGTACATGTTTAATTATAAAAACAGTATTGGTCACACAACTTTCATCTTGTACCAGCATTGTAAATATCCGGTCTTTATAGCCTGGCATTTAATCACGTTAAATAATGTTTAAATACTGAATTATTAACACACTAAAGACGTTCTCTATCAACCCCTTACTATTCAGTACCAGTTATGGTTACATAGAATCATATGTCATTTTTATCTTCTTTCATGTTTTGTTTTTTTTTTTTGTTGGTTGCTTGGTGTTTCTTTTCAGTGCCCCATTTAACAGTACTGGGTTTTTCGCGTATTATCGTCTAGCCGCGTTGTATAAACCTCTACGTAAGAAATTATTTATATGTTTCTTTCTTTTTGATTCTTTTGTATTTATGTTCTTTTCGTTACTGTTATATTTTAGATATCTATACTTTATAATTTCTTCATCATAGTTTTACTGTATCTTTTTTGTCGTATAATATTCTGTAATGTAGGGTAAAGGTCCTCCAAGCAAACTACATTGTCCTCATCTCCCCTTCTATAGTCAAAACACAGTACCATTATTGTAAAGTTATACAAAACGATAAATCTCTTAATTCTAACATTGATATCTGAACTAAGAAAGGTTGGAGTTTTGGATTTCTAAACAACTAAACGATATCAAAAACTCCAAATTTGTTCAACTACAATTAATCCTTTTTCTTTGCTACAAATATTATTATCTCAGGCGTACAGCCCAACCATGTTTGCATAAATGCACTTCTTTTTATCTTAAAACTTCAATTCAAAATCTATCTTCATCTGTCCTGCGCTGAACAAGGTTTTCACAAAGCATATCTTCTCCCATTCATCCACGGTTTATGACCTCCACCAAATAATTACACATAAATTAGGCATTGATTATGTATTTATAGTACTTACTATTCTTGTTATAATTTACATTACTTTTTTGTTTTTGTTTTTTTTTTTTTGTAGTTTTTGTCTGCTCTTGCATGTTGAATCATTCTCACTTCTTTGCGCCTCATATATTTTCTAGTCTTTTAAAATATCTAGCATTGTATTGCCACCATTAATTATACTCTTCCATATAGAGAACCTTGGCCAGTTCACACACAGAAACACCTCTCTCAAACCACACACAACACACCACAAACAAACCACACACACAGTAAACACACAGAAACACACAGTACTGACTGGACAGCCTCTCCTGAAGTAAAATGATCCCCTTTCCGTCTCTCTCTCCTCAGTTGGACCATGGAAAAGGTGTTCGAGGAACTTCAAGCCTCAGAGACAAAGGTGCAACTCACACACTAACTGAACATAATGGTTGAATATCAAAGTCACATGACGTGATAAAACCAGCTTCTGTCTTTCTGTGTGTGTAGAGAGTGCTGGAGGAGACCAGAGAACACTACCACGTCATCCAGAAGTTTGTCATCCTAGGAGACCTGGACGGTACTTGTCCTCTGGCACACACACACCTAACTTTAAGATTAATTTAATCCCCCAGAGGAGTACTCCTATCCCTAAACCCTAATCTGTCTCTTTCTGTCTCTCTCAGGTCTGTTGGAGGAGTTCTCTGATTGGCTGACAGCCTCTAAGCCCCTCCCCTCCCACCTGCTGCGTTTCATGACTCACCTCGTGCTGTTTTTCCGCTCTCTGGGTTTGGCGCTGAAGGTAAAGTAGACGAATTAGTCAAACGTGCAACATCAGGATAAAGATTTGTCATCTAGTCTAAGATTATAGGTTATTTACTTGAGATCAGCTTCATAGTTTGTTAAAAATCTGTTCAGGTTGACGTTTGCTGACCTGTTTCTCTCTCTTAAAGGAGGAGGTGTGTGTGGATGTGCTGAAGGCGTACGTCTCCCTTCTGATTCGGGATCAGCAGACTGAGCTCGTGGCGAGCTACGTCAGCCAGCTACCGGCCGAGCTCGCCACCGCTCAGTACGCCGCTTTCCTGGAGACTGTAAACCAGCCGGAGCTGCGCCCTCGCTGCCTGCAGCTCGCCACTGACGCCGGTGAGACAGAAGATAGTGAAACATACACTGTGAGGCCTTTAAGACAACAAGCATTATTATTAATGAGAGAATACTGTTTGTTTTTGTTTGTGTAGGTCTGGATGTTGCTGCGATAACCAAGCTGGTGGTGGAGACTGTGAGGGAGAGAGACGAAACTGAGTTTACACACCACAGCCAGACGCTGGAGACGGCGACTACGAAGGTACAAACCAAACGAAACAAATGTGGTGACTACCTTATTTCCTCTACGAAGAGAAGACTAAAACTAAATAAAAAGTCATCTTGGAAAACTTGAATTTTTACCTACTTTAGAACAAGAAGAATACCTGTAGCCGTCACAGTTGTAGCCCCAGAATGCTTAAAAGACAAGAAATTCCCTCAAACTCTAGTTATTGTAAAACTAAAATCAGGTGTCAAGAATCAGCAACATACTTTGTCCGTTGTATTAGTAGAACTGTGTGGACTCACTGTGATACTGTGCTCTGATAGGAGGACCTAAGGAAGATCGACGTTATCGATTGGCTGCTGTTTGACCCCGCACATCGAGCCGAGTCCCTAAAGCAATCCAACGCCATCATGAGGAAGTTTCTGGGTACTTTATTTATTTATTTATCCATCACAACTGTCCCAGCCATATTGTCTTCCTCTCAGGCACTGACACGGAGTCTGTCTGTCTGTCTGTCTGTCCCCCACAGCCCTGCAGAAACACGACGCAGCCAAGGCGGTGTTCTCTAAAGTTCCAGAGGATTCAATGAGGGAGATTTACTGCCAGTGGACGGGGGTCGGTCAGACCACGGCACCTGCGGAGGACGAGAACGCCATCAGAGAACACCTGTGCATCAGAGCCTACCTGGTCCGTCACCTGTCTCTGTGTTAATGCTTTCTTTCTTTATTACTTCAGTGTTAGGTTCTACCTCGGTTAGCGAGTGCAGCAGTAGGACAGACAACAATTGAAGAAGTGCCGCTGATTTTGATTGTCTAGGGCTCTAATTTGTGCTAATTGGCAGTAAACTGAATCTAATTCATTTTGCAGGTATTTGGCCATAAACAAGTACTGGACAGTTATACATTTTGACCAGAAGATGGCGGTAGATTTATTCCATCCAGTAATTGTTGAGACATAAACCCTCATGGTTTCATTAGAGGAAAAAGGAGGGGTGGATCACTCTCTAGGGACCAATAATATATTCATAAGTGGTTGAGATGTTTCAGTCTGGACCACCAGAGGTAGAACGAGTCCTTAAGAGTCCTTACAGGTTCAGGTTACGGGTCATTAATCTCCTGTAGTGGAGAAGAGATAATAGAGTACTGCTAGCTCTGTGGCTGCAGCATTACTTCAGTCTGTTGTGTAGGGATCAATAAGGGTTATTGATCTGAATGTGTCTTTTTAATGCTCTCACAGGAAGCCCACGAGGCCTTCACTGACTGGTTCAGCCACAGTAGCTCTGCCCCCCAGAAACCAGCACCCGCGCCCAGGAGCAAAGTTCACAGGATCTAGGCGCTAGCCCAATGCAGATGAGACCAGGAGATAGAAAGGAAGTATGAGTGACACACACACACAACACACACCCACTACATAACACAACACCGACACTTACACACAACACACACACAGTTGGCATATCTAATAATCATCAATTAAAAATATCAATACAGCTTGTATATAATTATGTGAAATTTATTAGTATCAGGCGCGTCTGTTCCAGTTACGTATGGATGTGTAAATACATGTCCATTAAAAATACTTGTTCATGTAAATATATTAGCTTTTGATTTATATCAATATGTCAATTTGTGTGTGTGTCTGTCAGTCCTCCCTGGCTGCCTGGTCGGCACGTCTGGACGTTTTAACTGAAGATGTGAAAGAGAGAATCTACAACGTGCTGCTGTTCGTAGATGGAGGATGGATGATCGACAACAGACAGGTAACATATGACCTGTGCGGCGTTTCCACCTCGGAAACTTTCCCTTTTTAAAGAACTAAAGAACCAGACTTTATAAAGACTTCTCTACTTTCTTAAGGTTCAGGAACTGTGTTTGATTGGTTGATAAATGGATTGTTTGGTTGTGTTTTCAGGATTCAGAGCAGGATTCAGAGCGCAGCCACCAGATGGCGGCGTTGCGCTCTCTGTGTCTGCCTCGCCTCAGCTTCTTGCTGCTCAGCGTGTTGCAGAACTCCTCCAGACACCAGGAGGCGCTGCGACTGGCTGACATCATCTCGTCTGACCAGCACCGCCTCTACCAGGTAACAAGACGAGCAGTTTGACAAATATGAGCTCAGTTCTTTAAGGTTATTTCCTGTTTTTTTATGGTGCGTTTGTTTCTCTCTCCACTATTTCAGGTTTTCTCTAAAGAGGAGCTGAGGAGGTTTCTTCAGAAGTTGAGGGAGTCGTCGCTCGCTCTGTTGGACCGAGGAGTCGATCCGCTGGGCTACGAGTTGCAGCCATGAACACACGGAGAAAACACACACGCAAACACACACA